AAAAATTATTGATTACAAATAAGAAATTTTACAATACAAATAAGAAATTATACAATGCAAAAAATAGTGTATAGAATGCAAATGAAAAAATCAAACAATTCAAATGATTTTTTAAGAATTCAAATGGAAAATATAAAATTCAAATAAAAAATTATATAATACAAATGGAAAATTATACAATACAAATGAAAAAAAATATACAATACAAATAAAATTTATAGAATACAAATAAAAAATTATACAAATGGAAAATTTTAGAATGGAAATGGAAAAGATAGAACACTGCAACGTTTGATTTGCCATAGTTAAGAGTTTATATCAACATTTTTTTTTTTTTTACCATAGAGACACTTTACGCACTTTGAAAACATATTTACAAAACAAAACTTCTGAACTTAAATTTTAGTAATAGAGAGCATTATTTTGTTATATTTCTTTCGAAAAACTTATGAATTGACGCTCATCGAGAACGAGTAGGACAGGTAGCTAGAAGGTCCCTCAGCCCAACTCTTTATGGTTCCTACCCAAATATATGTATTTGTATAAATGGTATGACATTGATATACTTTCTGTCCATAAAATGTCCATAAAATTGAGTAATCGTAAAATACTTGAAAAAATTTAGGTAAGCTTTCCTGAAAAAAAAAAATAAATAAATAACGCACTCTGTTATATTAAAGGAGATAGGCTCAGGTACCATGCATAAGCTATCTAAGCAACAATAGCCACTTGATTATACTTTGGCTAAAGTAACTTTACAATAACAAATACAATACAAATTAAAAAAAAACCGTATAAAATACATAAATTATTCTTTTATACCTCTTAATACTAATCAAATAATTGCAAAAGAAAAAAAATGAGCAGGAGTAAACATTTTTTTCATAATTCTAAATACTTATCAAATAACTATAAAAAGGCCATCATATTGTGTGGGAAAATTATTTTCAATAGAAATATCATAATTGCTCCCTTTTCCCTACGAAAAATGCAATGCTTTTGGTCATTTATCCACCCCTACATCTACCGAGGTTATTGATTTGATAAGAAACGAAATTGTGCTATTAAACAATCATTCCTTCATTATTTCTAAAAGACTACCCCCCCCCCCCAAAAAAAAATCTATTTTAAAACGTCTATATCTCAGATCTTGAAGTAGTGCTTATCATATATGTGTATATTATCCAACCAGGTTCAAATAATTATTTTTCTTACCTTAAATTTGCAAGAATATTGCCAAAGTCGAGCACTTTTTTTTTTTAAAGAAATATTTTTTTCAAAGTGCGTTAACTTGGTCGATATTAACTCACTTTGAAAAGAAATATTTTTTTTCAAAGTGCGTTAACTTGGTCCCAAATTTAACACTTTTCTCATTAAAAAAATTTTTCAAAGTGCATTATTTTTCAAAGTGCGTTGTAACAGTGGTGGAATATGACTACATAAATAGGGGAGGTTGACACTGCAAAAGCTAAATATGAAGTCAACTGTTTGTAAGATAATTTAGTTCTTAGTGGGTCAATAACTTCTATAGTCAGTAAAACATCCAAATATGAAACTGATCTATAGTACACTATACATGTATATGGGGGGGGGGGGGCATTGATTTTGTCAAAAGACTTGGAAGGAAATTTCTTTAATTTTCACTACATGTAACTTTTGCTTGGATACTATTATGCGCCATTTAGATACACACATGGACGATGTTTATAAATGAAGAATACGATGCAGTTGTTTTCATTTCATTAATATGTCTTCTCGATATTTCCCTGTGACTTCAAAATACACCGCAATGTACCACAAAACCGATTTTTTTTTTTAATTTTGCTTTTCAAGAAGTTTTTGCTTGGTAATGCCCTCCAACTGAAAATGTTAAGCCCCCCAATGAAATTGCTTTCTAAGGGCCTTTAAAGTCTAGAAAAACAATGTAGTTGTTTTTATAACAGGTCAAATTTTATAATTCATTAGATTTAAGAATTAGTCACCTTCCGATCTGACGTCTTCATTTGACATACAATTATCTCACAAATAAAACTAGAGGTTCAGTGAGCACTGCGCTCACAAAATGATAACACCGTTCCTATATGAGTATAAAGACCAAGACCATTTCTGCTGTGGGAATCTCAAATATCTGTCTGAAATGGTAATATGTAAAAAAGATTCTGTGATAGTTTCATTATTTTTTTTTTCAGTGGCATAGGAGGAGATGCTAATAAGAGATGGGTACCCCTTATGTTATAGAAAGAACGGCAGTGTTTCCAATTCTGCAACGGGAAACTCTCAATATCTGTCCGATTAAAACGATAAATAGAAGGTGCACATCGGTACTATGTAGTAAAGATTGTGGGATAGTCTCAATATATTTTATTTAGTAGTGTAGGAGGAGTTGGAGATAAGAGATGGGTTCCTCAATTTTATAGAAAGAATGTCAGTGTTAATGTTTTGCTGTGAGAAACTCCATATATCTGTCCGACCGAAATGCAAAGTGCACAACGGGACTTCTTTTTTAAATTTATACGTAATTTTATTCACATGAAGTGAATGGGATTGGGCAGCAGGCATAGCCTATTTTAGCCCTCTCCCTTCAGCAAGATCAAGGTAAATTCACCGTATAACATTAATTAAACATTAAAAATGCAAGGTAAAAGAAGGAAAAAAATACAATGAAGTACTGGTTTGGAAAATTTGACAAGACAAAAGTTACATACATGTACACAACAGTGTTCAAGTAAAACGTTTTGTTGCTGTTATATATGCATGTAACATTTATGCATGCACAATAGAACTATGTAATAAAGATCCTGTGAAAGTCTTATTAAATTTTATTCAGTGGTATAGGGTGAGTTGATAAGAGATAGGCACTCCCAGACGTACGGATGGACAGCCCCATCACAATATACCCCTGCTCTTCAAGCGTCTAAAACGTTTTTTTATTGTCTAAAAAACGGCAAACAGTTGAGGCTGTGAAAATTAAGATAAATTTCATCAAAAAACAGAACACATACACACAAGTTTTTTTTTAAATATATATTTCCAGTACACTTTATTTATTTTGATTCAAAAATTGATTCCTGATGATTTACAGTTATGTACGAGGGTTTTCCACAAAGTTCGTCAACAATGACGTTTTTGGCAAAACGAATGATTATAGATATACTTTTTGTATATCAAAATATTTGTTATAAACCTCAAGTCCTAATAGTTGGGTTTAAATTGTTTGAACTTCATACTTTTGTAAAATTTGCGGTATTTAAGGGTCACAGATAGTGTGCAAGGCCCGGGGTTAAAATGCTACAAACTTTGAAATAAAGTTTTCCGATATTAATGATTATTTTCTTTATAAAACAAGCTAATTCTAAATAAAAATTATATGTCACAAAAATTTAATGGTTATTGTCATTTTATGGTATTTTAAAGAGACACCGTGACGGAAAAAGGGGGAATCCGACAAAAGAAGAATTTTTGGATGACACATCCAAATTTTGTTCAATTCTTCAAGATATTAGGTTTCAGAAAATTACAGGTTTCAGAAACTAAAAAATCTACTTTTTTGGAGAAAAATAAAAATAATTTTTGTTTGTCCCAACACAAACATATTACGTCACCTCTTCCTCTTTATTGTATGCATGAGCAGAAAAGTTGAAGATTTAACCTTGGTGTCAATTCCAAAGATATAAATATCGGATGACCAAGAATTTTGATACAATCTTCATTGATATTTCTCACTTCTGCTTGCTCCAATTCAATGTTGTTTTCAAGTTTCACACTGAAAATATAAGTTGCATGACCTTGACATTGTTGACATTTGACGATAACAACTAAGCGGTAGATACAACCTTTGTTTTTCCGGCACTTACATTTCTCAGTTCTTTTCTTGCTTTACAGTGTAGTTGAGTTGTCAAAACCTCGCTTTATTCATATTTCACATAAATCTTTTGTTTTATGATACAACTATCTTACAAGAAACACATGATTTTGACTCATTATGTAACTTTAAATATTGTTTAATATTCATATAGTGAAAATATTAAGAAAAAACTGCAAGAATTTATGTTTCAAAAAATGACAGAGAAAGCGACTTCGGCCATCCGAAAGGAACAGCTTTTAATAAAGAAATTATGTCTTAATATGGTCGAAAGGACGTCAGAGACAAAATATTTATTCAAACAACTCCAAATTATTGGATTATATTTAGTTCATCGATTTGAAATTAGTAATTACGATTTTTTAACAGTGTGTACAATTCGGAGACTCTACAAAAAGTAGAAAATCACTTTTATTTGATGAAAATATGATATCCCTATTCATGACGTTGTTATAAATCTAGCGCAACTGCGCAGCCTGTGTATTCAAAGAGTTTATACTGATGACGCTCGTAAATTATCGTTTATTAATTTGAATTTTAAAAATTAAATCAATTATGTTCAATACATAAGTATTATTGCACACATTTGGCAGTGCGGCATAACAAAAATGTAGCCTGTGTGGATGAGCATGTAATAAAAATTCAATATTCCATATTTTTGACGTTATCATGAAAATTAGCTTTAGATCAAACTGGGAGGTGCGGGTTGTACATACAAAGAATTTACACCTTTAACGTTCGTAAAATAGTTTGTTTTAATTTTTAAAATATTTTTTAATTAAATTATGGTCTTTATTGAAATATTATTGTACACGTTTGCCAGTGCGGTCATTATGAGGAAAATTATAGCATTTGTCCACGAGCTTTATGGACAACCCTCGTAGTCAAACAAATCAGTGGGAAAATCAAAAGACAATCTGAATATTTACTAAAATCCACAGAATTAAAAATATAGAACATGGCACTTACATCATATACGTTGACAAAACTTAAATTGCACTACAAAGACACATTGCATTTACAAAGTTAGTTTAGTTTAAAGCTAATAATATTATAATTTAATACAAATATCAATATAACATTAACATTAACAATATAACATTAATAATAACGATAGCAATTATTTATAACTCAAACAATAATAACAAAATTAGTCTTTAGCATCCATTGGATTGTCCTAAATTTTGGGCTAATATTACATCACTTTTAAATATTTCAACATATTTGACTTTTAACAGCTATCATTTATCTTAGGGAAAAAAACCCACTAAATTTCCTAATCACACGTCAATCATTTTATTGTTTCGATTTTTGCAATTAGCAGAAAGAATTGAGTTGTTAATCATTAGAAAATCATGCTCAGCCACTCTCACGAACTTCATACAATATCACTTCCTGCTCATCTGATGTCCGTTCTTTGCTCTTACGAACTCCAATACAAAAGTATATTATAACCCCTGAAAAGGAAAAAAGCTATGTAAGTTAAACTTAAATTTATGTAATTGTTAGAGACGTTAAAAATAGAGTGATAACTATTATAATACTTCTTACTTACCAACAAAAAGCCAAACAGAAAAACTCAACAATGCATTTGAAGGAAGTGATGTCAGAAGAAAAATATTGAGAGTCAACGACAGTAAAGGTGACAATGGTACTCCTGGAGTTTTGTATAACAGTTTACTTCGGTTCTGAGGTTGTTTGCATAAAATGAAAGCCGACACTGTCATTGTACCAAGAATTACAACCAGCAAAAAAATGGACCACCATGAACCCATGTAGATATATTTCCACCCAAACGTCACAATCAGTGAGACTACGAGAGAAGAAATAAAGTAAATCATAATACACAGCACTGATATTAACCAGGAAGTGGAGGAAGGTTCCATGACATCACTCACGTGCAGCGGAAATAACGTACTCTCACTTCCCACAGAAGTCAAGCTTACTATACTGTTCATTTTCTTGTAAGTGCTTCCTCGTAGTTTCTCTATTCTTGGAGAATGTTTAAAAGACAGCACATCGTCCTTATCTGCCTGAAATTGTTTATTAATATAAGAGGGATGCGAAAACTCTGTCATACATTCTTCCTCATTTGGATCTTCGTATTCTTGGATCATTCCAATATTAACTTGTTGGTATCGTAAAAATAAAACACAAAGAGAGACTACAAAAAAAGTTAGCAGCGTGCTGACTCCCAACATGGACAAAAGAAGATTTAATTTGCAACACAATGTAAGAACGAATGATATTAGGAACGACAGTAACAATGCTTTCACTGGAATTTTTCCTTTTAAAGTTAAATCCCCAAGACATTCAGGAAGCAATCCATCCCTTGATAAGGAATACATTATTCTAGGAACAGCCGAGAGAAGCGAAATGGTTGACGCAAACAGGAAAAGGAGAGCTCCGACGCTGAATACGTAACGAGCACCTTGTATGTGACGGTTTTCAAAAATTACTGCTATTCCTGCGTTATCTACGAATGTATTTGAAGGAGACATAAGAGTCACTGCTGAGCTTACAGCTATCATTGAAATCATCGTAAGTGTGATGACAATTGCAAATAAGGCTGGGAAATTTCGTAAAGGGTTTCTTTGTTCCTCGGCCGTGTTGGCTATTGTATCCACAGCTAGAAATGGGAATATGAGGATAGATGCTCCAGATAAAATCTTTAAAGAGAAGAAAAAACACAAGATTAAATTATGCTTTTAACTGATGTGTATTAAAACGCATATCAAGATTGGTTAAATGGATTATTTCCCTGCACTATGTATGAAAGGTATTCTAACTTTCGTTCTTGAAAGAATCAAACAAAACTGGAAGTCGCATCTGCTGGGTGATATACCAAATAAATGATGTGATGACTGTGCACATTTCTTACAAATTTTTGCACAAATTACTGTCGTGAAACTGGGCTACAAAATTAGCCCTTGGCAAGTTTTTAATACAGGTTTCATTAGAGATTGATCTTCAAACACATTAAATTCAATGCATTCTATGCTAAAAAGGCTATTAATCTTCTTATAGTACAAACACTGCTGCAGTTATCAATAGATTTCTTTGAATTCACTTAAAGGAAAACATTTATTGGAATGTTGTATTATCTCTCTATGCTCATATTTTCATTGTAAGGCCCTAGTGAGAAATCAATTTCGAAAGGATCTTGCATTTCCTGGAATTACGAAACATTTGACAAACTGTAAACATTTAAATCAGAGTTTTCTGATCAATCGCATTTTTTCATTTACATCTTTATTTGTCCAGAATCAATTTCCACGCAGAGGAATATGGTTGTATAGATACAACAATAGAAATCCGTTTAAAGTTATTTCGTTAGAAGGCAATTACAATCCAGCATGCACTTGTCGTATTCATATGGTAAATATTAGACGAGATTATCCAATTTTGCCCAAATCAAACCGTCGACGATTATCATTATGCCAAAAAGTGGTTTTAATTTTTGGTCTTGCGTATTAAGTTCTGTAATGTTTACTCGGATTGATTTTCTTTGATGGATTGCCGTGATCCATTTGTAGATTTTTCACTATCTTTTCACCAACATGCAATATTTATTGGGAAATGATGGGCTTTTAGCTCTCCAAGACAGCGTTCTATTTCGTAAATGATTGCAGGAAGTCATAATAAATGCATCAATCCATGGGCTTGACGTTATCTCTGGAGTGGTTTGGTCTTGAATTCTATATTTACTTGACATTTGTAGTACTCTCAGACAGATGCAGATCTATCCACGGGCTATGTCCTTTTGAAATAAATAATAGATTATCATGTTATACCTTTATCTCAGTTGATTGTCGAGTCGCTAATGCTACACGCTTATTGCAGTATTTCCAGTAAGAAAAATAATTCAAAATTTTATTTTGTTCTACTTTGTTTCATTTCATATTCCTATTATCTATTCCTTATTTTTATGATGGCACAATTATAATTCTGTCCATGTCTAGCTTAAAAATGATAAACCACTAACTAATTAGTACATTTTCCAATTAATATATAACTGGATTATTCGTATTATAGAGGGGAAAAATGTATAACAATACATTATCATAAAACAAGTACACGGAGATAAAATGTTTCACAGTAGTACGTAAACTAGCGTTAACCATGTACCGCGATATAAAGTAAATTGTTATTTAGCATTAACCAAGTACCGGGTAAAAAATGTATCATAGTATAAACCAAGAACCGGGATAAAATACATCACAGTGGTACACTAGCATTAACCAAGTACACGTAGATAAAATTTATAACAGTAGAAAACTAACATTAACCAAGTACATGGGGATAAAACTAATAGCAGTTGTAAACTAGCTTGAACCAGTACACGGGGATGAAATGTATCACAATAGTATCACAATGTATCATAATAATACATGTACAGTAGTACACTACCACTAACCCAAAACCGGGGATAAAATGCACCACAAATAGCACCATATGCTTCATAAAGATTTTTTCTCCTAGATAAACACTATTTTAGTATCCATGATCACATCTACTTGTACACCTAAGGCACAAAAATGAATCTGTGTTGCAGTAATACTGATATTGGTATTAAATGGTTTTGTCTATAACACTGTCTATCAACCCAAACAAAACAGTGATAAGAAATCAGTTTTAAACTACATAAATTTAAAAAAGCCCGATGGCCCAAGTTAATATTTCAATATACAGCGTTTTTGTCCTTAGAAATCTCTTGCGGAACACTGATATATATCAATAACTTTTTTTCATGTTTCGTGAATTTTACAACGAACAAAATTTTGATTTATGCAGAAAAAATATAGACAATGCATCAAAAAAAGAAATGCATATTTACTTTACGTAAATCATAGGTATTACTATAGTACATGGAAATCAAAGTATTTTTACTAAGGTTCAACAAGTTATGTATCATTTCTTCCGTTTTTTATTATTAAAATGAAAAATTCATTCAATATGTTTAAACGATATTTCAAAGTCTGAATTGTTGTTAAACTTAAGAAATGTCAGTATTTAGTATCATAGTATATAGAAGTAATGAAGTAAAGTTTCAAAGCATCATTCAAATTCAAAGTATCAAAAGTAAAGCATAAAAGTATTTAAGTACTGTATGTTAACTATACTTTACTATAAAACACTAAAGACAAAGCAGAGGGTTTTTTTAGGGAGGAATCGATTAGGATATGTGTTAAAACATTTTCGACCAATTTCTAAATGCAGGACGAATTACCTTTTTCAAAAATTTGCAAACATTAAAACACATAAAGTTTTGTTTATTTCCACATTACAATAGCTACCTACGAGTAATTTTATTACAATTCTATCACTTACCCCTTCTATACCAAATCTAAAGAAACCCTCTCCGCCCGTCCAGTTGTCGTGTTGTACATGAAAGAACCCTACACAGATGACGGAGAATACTACCACACCTCCGAAAATGCAGAGGACACAGTTAATAACTGTGGAGAACTAAAAATACAATTAAATAACATATTATATACACTTAGATTATTTACATTTTAAAGAGGTTTGTTTACGTTGCATTTATCAATCAAATTGTGACCAGTAGGCATCAAATAAATGAAAACGAAGATAAAAATTAGCAAACCAGTAGAGTACGAAATAGATACTCATTATATTTGTTCTCTGAAATACCTTAGTACTAATAAGCATTGCAGTCGTGCAGATAATCAGTAAAAGGACAGCAATGAAGTCGGGTGATTGGTCAATGTTATGTCCATCTGACCAATGAAATGACGTGTTCAGCAATCTGTTCATAGGAAAAAAAATACATTTTGAAAATTAAAACATTTCATGTCGTCGCCAGCAATGGGTTAAAATTTCGTAGCTTCTCCTACAAATGATTTGTTGTAGGAGAAGACTAAGACCTGTATTTTTGATTATGAATGTTTGGTACATGTAACTAAAGAGATATGAAATAAATCCCTTTCTTGTGTAAAGAAGAAAGATCTTTTTTTTTCCTTTTATTAAAATCATAATATATTAAAATCATAAAGAAGAAAGATCTTGCATGGAAATTATTTTCAATATATGCAATTTTCGAGTTTTACTTTCTTCCAAGAAAAACTTTTACTAGAAATCAACCTTTGAGCTAAAAATGGCAATGATTTAATATGCAGTAAACTTCTGTACCGGCAAATTATTTGTATTTCTTATCAATGAACCATTTACGCATTTGTAGGCGAAAACAGTAAAATTCGAAAGGAAGTGAAAATTAACAGAAATGGAGGGAAATAGATATAGAGAAAAAATAATAAATTTACATGTGAGACTAATGCACATTAAATTTGAAAAAAAAAATTAAGTTCAATTACAATTCTGAATAATTATCTCTGAAATTTATGGTTAATATATCTTTAAAAAATTTTACCTACCGGTACACTAGTGGAAGTATTAATTATCTACGCAATTATTGATCACTAATTCAGAAAATAAGTTCTTGTTTTGTTTTGTCGAATGAACAATTTTTTAAACAAATCACTGGACTGCTACAGGTAATGGTTTGTAAATTTCAAGCTTAAGAAACACAAAATGTATTACGTTTCTATAATATTTTTAACAGAACCCCCTTCAGTGTTGTAATATCCGCAATAAGCAACGAACGCTAAGAGGCGAAACTCCAGCAAAGTTTTATTTGTGAAATAAACATCCATCTTAGACAAATTAATATCAAGATGAATGAAAGTTTTTTTTTATTAAAGGTGTACTCAATAGGTTTCGCTTAGGAAGAACAATGTTCAGAACAAATGAGCTAACATCGATGAATAAAATATGTTTTGTTTTTTTTTTTTTTGTTTTTTTTTTTTTTTTTTGTTGTTGTTTTTTTTTTTTGTTAAAGGAAAGTGGATCATGTGATGTGTTCTGCATTGTTTACTTTGCTTTGGCGACAGGAATTAAGGTCATTTATTTGGAATGATGGAATGAAATATACAGAGATTACGAACAGTATTCAGGCTCAAGAGTCGATTCAAACAATACAAATCAGGAGCAGAGCAAACACAGACCTCCAAAACATCAGAGGTGGGATCATGTACCATGGAGAAGTGAGCATCCCCTGCCGACCGGTCACACCCGCCGTGTGCTCCTTGTCATGATCGAAAAATAACGGGAAAATCCGTAGACAATTCAGTGTGTAAATAATGGCCTAACAATTTGTATGAAAAACGTCAGTCAGCATTTGACTTAATGATAGATTGTATTTGCTGACAGGCTCATTGTATCGACTATAGAACTTTCGAAATTATGACTTTAAACGAGACTGTTGATATTCTTGTTTCATCAACTTGTTTGTCAATAACTCAACTCGTTTTAGAAATTGTTCGTACGTAGAGCATTTGTGCATCGAATCAACTGAGAGATATAAACCCCGTACATGTATGCAGGTGAGAAGGGTATATTGCTACATAAGTAAGGGTAGTTAACGACTGAAAAGTTGAAGTCATCGCTTTTATAATAAAGCTTTGTTGTTAGGTTAGCAATGATTTTTTTCTAGTAAGTACACAAATTTGAAACAGATGTGTTACACTCTGTGGTATCTTATTTCAAGCTCACTGGAATAAATCCTGTCGGCATATGAATGGAAATAACTACTGTTAATGATAATTGATAATACATCGTCGATATATCTAAATGTCAAGTTGAAGGCCACAGCAAGTGTTTTCTTTTTCTCATGTATAAGATTTTGAACAAAATGAATACAAAAATAACGGGGCGTAATTGGTACCCATGGAAATTCAACAGATTGTTGAAAGACCTGAACTCCAAAAACCACATAGATATCAGTAATCAGAAACTCACACATCTTTTTAATATCACCTTCAAAGTACTTGTGTGTACAATCAAAATGTTTTTAACAAAATAATTTTGCAAATGACAATGACTAGTTAAGTAAATTTATGAGTACCTATTTTATTGAAAAAGCAGATGCCAATAAAGTCAAAAGCCTGGACTTTATTTATCGTGGGGAATGGATGTACATGTATATAGATTTGAAAAGTCGTAAGTTTTGATGTTATACTGTAAATTCCTTATTTTACGCGAGTACTTAATATCGCGAAAGGGCTCTTAGACGCCAAAATCGCGAGAACAATAATTCGCGAATGGACGGTTTACAATGAGATTTAACATTAATTTCAACACCATAATAACAAAAGCGTGTAATTTTATTTCGCGAGTGGTGCTCCTCGCGTAATTACGCGTTAATTAATTCCTCGTGTATATTTAGGAATCTACAGTATTTTGGTAAAATTTTGTGATTTCAAATTTTCCAAAAGTTTCTTTAAATTATATCTGGTTTACACCACTTCTCGAATATATTGTTGCACAGTTATCTTGAAGTTTCTCCTTCACTGCTGTTAATATTTTAGAGAAGCGTAAAGAAAGGGGCTTGGTACACTGTAGAACATTTTTTCGAACCCGCTATGTATCTTTGTTTGTTTGTTTGTTTATTGTTTAACGTCCCTCTCGAGAATTTTTCACTTATATAGAGATGCCACCACTTGCCAGTGGAGAGCTACAAATTTTGACCTATACTCGGCATTTAGGGCCATTGAGCAGTGGGGGATCTTTTGCGTGCCAGCACCTACTGTGACACGGGACCTCAGTTTATACGGTCTGATCCGAATGACCGGTCTCCACGTCCCACAGTGGGATTCGAACAACTCCTTAATCTGCGTCTCTAGACCGAACGCTCTGACCACTGCGCCACTCGGGCAACTATCTATAATTGTAAAGATTTTTGAAGTTAAGGAATTCAGTGTAGTTACGGTAATTAAAATTCATTTTGGTTGTTGTAAATATTAGAAATTTTCAAAACTAATATATGATTCTGAAGAATTTCCTCCTTAGAAAGGGAGTTATGGAATTGGATTAGCACTTGTAGAATTGAATCCCAGTTCCTCTAAAATACAATTAAAATAATGAGCCTTACAAACAAAGACAATGTTATCTGGAACCTGGCTCACGTGCGCTGAGTACATTTACATAATTAATATTTTTTTTTTAATCAGAATGATTTATATATCACTTATCTATTTTTTTAAACGGCTAGCAATCCAATAGAAAATGACCATCTGTTAATGAAATATTGCTGTCTGACGACATAAAAGATTGTACAGATTACCTTGGTATGGAATTATTTGTTAGATGGCCGAGATATTGGCTCCATGCTTTAGCGGAGATGGCTACACCAATGCTGTGTTCTAAGATAAGGCTCCATCCTACCACAAACCCACACAGTTCACCAATAGTGGCGTAAGTATAAAAATACGCTGATCCAGTACGGGGTAGACGTAAAGAAAACTCTGTGAAACACAATCCTGTAAAGGTCCAACAAGGATATCAAGAAACAGTACAATGAATATGACATCAAAAGATGTGTTCCTCTTTCTTCAAATATCAGCTGATTTAACTCATAGAAATGAGAACTCATTGTTTAAAAATTATCACTGTTTTACATTTCATTACATAGCTAATAAATAGGCTATTATTAAAAACTGCAAGTGTAGAGAATTTTCAATATGTTGGCGTTTTACTGTTTGCAATATTATACGAGTATGCCCCGAAAATGTCGTCTGGTTTACCTCTGAGCGACAATATCTTTGATGGGTAGAGGCAGCTAGGTAAGATGTGTCTATTTTCACACAAAATTGATATTATTAATTAGTAATTTCGTACCTATAAGCCCCAGTAAGCAAATCATAATCGCTTGGTAGGGTGTGATATTGAACACTTTCAGGACAGATGCTGATATTACACAGTTTAAATTTAAATACGATACTGAGAAATTCTTATTAATTTTGAGTTATTTAATTTGAATAATTAATACAAATCAATGGAAAAATTTTTAACGATATAATAAAGAAGTTATTAAACTTAATATTGGTGAATATTGACAGTCGTTGGCTGTACAAATGTACTCGCAAGCTCGTGCATTTGTACAACCAACTCATGCCAATATTCAGCAATAAAAGTTCCATACCCTATATTATATTATAATAATAATTATTATCATCTTTTAGCAGTTTTATACCAACTGAAAATGGTACGTGTGTTGGAAGGAACGTGTTTCATAATGCTACAACAGGTCAAATGATTTACTGATTATGAATTATAGTTCTAAAAGAACTCCAGTTTATTCTCTGATAACTGAGATATCTATTCTGAAAGACCAGATTTTTCTATCCACACTTTTCCTAACAATAGAATGTCTGCATGGACACTAATTTGTAAACTTACGATACATTCTATACCGATAAAACATTTATATTAATTAACAGTAAATAAAGCTCAATATGCATAGTGCTCAGATCATGATGACATAAATATTGATGAAAATGACCACAGTTCCAACTAACAACTGTCAGATATAGTTTCATTGTGGAAATTCATATATAGATACTAATGAAGAGGTCGCTTTTTATCGTACGATATGCTGTTCAACATAGGTACAAAAAACCTTTTAAGTACATCTTTTGAATGATTATGATGTTTTTGATTTTTTTTTTCATTTTAAAGAATGTGGAATCAGAATAAGTGTTCCATTGTAATGATACACATTTATTGATGTCCATTTCGGTTATTTGCAGGATTTCTGGCAACAAATCGTAATAAAGTATGAAAAAGAAGTCGTCCTTTTTAACGACTATGGGCGAACGATCTTACCGGAGAGTGCAGCAGTGGCGGCAGCGAGGAGAACAGACAGAACTACAGCAGGTCCAGCGACTGAACGTGCAACGTGGGTAATCAGTACATAGACGGCTATACCGATAGAGCCTCCAAATCCTACAAGGGACAAAAATACAAGTAAGAAATGGTTAATCAGAATATATACAGCTTCGCCAAATAAAGCATCCAAACCCTTCAACCGACAGAAATACATGCCATACTTGGGTAATCAGGATATACATAGCTATATTGATAGAGCTTCCAAACTCTACAAAGACCAGAAATAGATATAATACATACATGTAGGTAATCTTCACATATACAGCTAGACTAATAGAGTTTTCAAACCAGAAAGGTAAAGCATTGGTAGTAGTACGTATAGAAGAAAGCCAATAGAGCCTCCAAATCTGACAGCAGACAGAAATATACGTATCAGGACACATATAGCTACACCAATAGAGCTTTCAAACCCGAAAAAGGTAAAGCATAGATACTCAGGACATATAGAGCTAAACCAACAGAGACTCCAAACTACGAGATAGGTGGTCAGGACAAAATTAGCCACTGATAGAGCTCCCAAACCCCTCAAAGAACAAAAATATGATGAAGTATACTCTCCAAGATTTCTCTAGATCTCCTGCAACATGTCTGTTTTATTCAATTGTATATCTAAATGTAGATTAAATAATGATTTTAAAAAAGGAATAATTTTAAATAAGAATGATATTTAAAAAAAAAACAAAACACATGACTAAAAAAGCGCTGATTGTTTGAAATAGTTGTTTTCGAAATTGTTCGAATAGCTTTCGAAAGGTAATTGAAAAAGGTCAAAGAAATTGTTAAAGAGAGAGAATTTATTCCTAATTTCTAAAGAATCGTTCTCATAAATTGTAGTATTCACAATGCACTGGGATAGTTGAAAAGGAATATAACCTAATAATTTATTTTGCAGATGTTTTCGTGTTATTTTTCCATTATTTCAGCACATCGGTATCAACATGCGGGAATTTAACAGAAATATAAGTTCATTTGGACATCAGTAGCAAGCAAAAACACATTATCTAAAAGGCAGGGCATTCCTTGTGGCGGACAATTACTGCTTGCGTGATTGCTTCTACTTTTTATTTGATGAAACTAAACACAAAAATGCCATCAACTTTATGTTCAAGCAATGTGTTATGACACTGTCCTTTCATTGATATAAAAGCATTTCACCGTTATGATCTGACAGAAGAGATCTGCAGCATTATTTAGTGAGGGCATTGGGATTGATAATTATATAAAGCATTATTTTATATCTTGATCTGAAACAAATGACGACTTTAGATATTGTCTATTAATCTGAAAACCCGATAATGTTGCTGATGTGGAATATATACTGTATTTTGTGACAAGTAAACAATATATACGATATATGACCAAGAAACTTACATTGTATTTGTCATGTGTTTGTGATTTTTTTTTTCATTAGTAATTTAATTAAGTTTGATTCTTTTGTAAGTTTTATATACTAGTAAATTAAATACCTATGCCAAGAACATCCGGAACACCGAGCTGCCTTTTCAAATCAGTTTCTAGAAGACGTTTGTTGTCAATAGTTTTCTTTCTAGATATTGCTGCAGGTATCTTTGAACAGAAGGTCATGGTACATCTGCAAAAACAAAGATCAAGCAAGAATACACTGTTCACTGTGGATATGCTTTAGGAATTACTATTAACCATTTTCATTAATTAGAAGGAAACAAAGGATGGTTATTTTTTAAAGAAAATTATTCATCTGTTCGGTTCATTTTTTAATCAAACATGCACAAAATTATACATTATTTCTTTATTCATGATTAGAAAACAATGGCTAAAATCTTTACTATATAAATAAGCATAATGTTGTTACAATTTGGGGTAATTTTCCTCGGAGACAGAATGTATTGATAAACATTATTAAGTAGAAAAAGCTTATCAATCTTAATGCCCACTGAAGTGTTACATCGGATCTTTCCTTTTAATTAACTTTCGCGGCTTTCCAAAGCTATAGATTTTGACATGTCAAAGGTACTCTAAAATCGTTCCAAATCCGAAGCCTGGACAACTTGATCGACTTTGTTTTACCAAAGGTTATGGACCCCATTAAAGATGTAGAAGAAGAGTGTGACTGTGTTTTATGCCTTGTCCATGTTATTTTTTCATTCGTTATACATACATGTATTTACTTCGATATAAATATACCTGTCCTTTAAGTATATTAGTAAAGGACAACAATCTTATTAATATGAGAAATGTGCAATGATATAAAATAAGAAATATCGAAAAAATCATGAACAAGATTTCAAAAAAGTATTTTTAATGTGTGCACTTGCATTTGAAAAAAAGTAAGTACTTTATACTTTTTTCATTCAATGGTTGACTTGTTAATTAGCACCACTATTTTGAACTCACATTAGATTCTCATCAAAATATAATTAGACAAGAGTTTGTTTTACAATGTTATTGATTGACACTTTAAATATTGTAATCTCTATCAGGTGTAATAATCTTTGATTACACAGTGCATGGATTTCAGAGAGATTGCAACCTGTAGATTGATTGAGATTCTATAAAACAAAAGTGGGTGTTTATGTCAACATTGATATTTGTCTGGGCTCATAAAATAAGGTGTCATATTTCATGTATGCAGACCAGAGAACAATGTAATTTGTCTTGTAATCGATTCTAAAATAGTAATTAAAGTCTCTTCTGTGTTGATGAAAACCCTTATCAATACTTTCATCCAATTTTTGTTCCTTGATTTTAAGATTTAGGATTTTGTGAAATGCTTTTATGAAATGTTATATACTTTATGTCAAAGTTTGTCTCTCAAAGCATTAAAAAAATCTTTAAATATGCCTGACTAGGAAATCTGTCTGTTAATACATAAGCTCTTTCTAACAATGAACCCTATAAATTCACATAATAACATACCAAAAATGATTTTAACAATTTTTATTTTACAGGAAGTCTTAAGTTTAAAAAGTATTTTATTATTGATGGAGTCAGTGCTTGTCAGAAAGTTTATCTATTCATATGTAAAACCTTATGGTCCGATCCTAAATACTATTCAATGAATGAAAAAGTCCAGTATTCATAAAAAGGATTCTGGAATATTATTTTGCGTTCAATGGGGAGATATTTCTTTTTAACTGTTTTATAAATAACAGATATAAATCCATTTCCAGTGATCTGTTTATCCTTACTTATCGACCCACAAATTGCTTTTATGCACTGTTACAGAAACAAATCCCTTTAAGTCTTTCATCTCAAGAGTATTGAGATGCATATTTTATAATGACTGTGACATACAACATGCACCCAATGCAGAACAGACGTAAAATATCACAGATTAGAACAATTTCAAACTCTTGTCCCGAATACAATCAGAAGTCTCTGAAAAGACTAGCTCTACTGGCTTCTACTTAAAACAAAAAAAAAGGAGAAAAGTAGCACTTTGACTTGGAACTATAGCAACAGCAATAAATAGAATAATGATCCTTGATTTAATATCATTCTTGTGGTAAATTAAATTGGAATGGGACAGTAGGATGAGTAGCATTTTGAAAGAATTTCACAGAAATTTCTATTTCTATTGACCAGGGCAACATCATTCATGAAAATCACTAACCAATTGATAGATTTATGCTCCTGTTTGTAGTGTACATGTGTATTAACGTATTTTGAAATCAGACGAAATTTATTGGAGGAATAACATTTTGAAAGAATTTCACAGAATTTTCTATTTTAAGTAACCAAATGGCAACATCATATGTCAAAGTAAAAAAGAAAACTGATATACAGAATTATGCATCTTGATGTAGGTTATTTGTGTAGAGGGTTTTGTTGAGATCAGACCAAAACAGTAGGAAGAGTAGTTTTTAGAAAGAATTTCACGCGAATGTTTATTTAAAGTAACTTTGGTAAAACCGTTCATCGGATTAAAAAAAATAATGCATACCAAATTTTATTAAAATCTGACTTAGTTGGATGAGTTGTCTTTTGAAAGAGTTTCACAAAAAATTTTAGTAACCAGGGCAACATAGTTTGTCAAAATTAAACACTGATTACCAAGATTATGTATATTGGTGTACATGTCTATTTGTTTAAGATTTATTGATGTAAGAGGGGTAGCGTTTTAAAAGAATTTCACAGAAATTTCTATTTTTAGTAAATTTTGCAACCCTGTTCATCGAAATCAAAAACCAGTATAAAGGATCATGTATCTACAAATGTAGATACTTTAATTGTGTACAAAGCTATTTTGAAGTCGTATTAAAACTGTAGAAGGACAAGCATTTCGAAAAATTGTTTGCAGATAGAGAGACAGACAGATGGACAACTCTGATCATTAGAGCTAAAAATCAAAAATCAAAACAATCTGAATGTCTTAGCATGCATATTGACTCAAAAACCATTAATGAAATACAAAATGATGGCAGATTTGATTCGTTTTTACAACCTTTATTTATCTATTTTACCTTTTGTTTTATTCATTTAAATACGAAGGGATTAAAATAAAAATAATATGCATAATTACTTCTCCTAATGATATCTTCATTACATTTACCAAATTTTCCGTATTTTTCCGTAGATTTGCATCTTTTTACTAGCAATGAAGTATCTTGAATAACATCATTTTATATGAAATTATAAATCATAGCTTAGCTTCATCTTTGGAAAAATTACAGTTATGTACAACTTGATCTTAAGTGTACGTTAAAAATGTAATGAAATGATTTCAGTTGTGCTTTGAATTGATACTGTAGAGCTCTGTGATAACTAGGAAATCGGAATCCTCTTTAAACATTAGATACAGGCTTGATGGTTCTGTAATTTTTCTTGTAAGTGTGATGGAGAATGTATTTTTATTGGGAATAAGAAACCAAGAAGACATTTCATGTTTTACGGGGAATGTGTCCTATTCGAGAGTTTATGATTGATTCTCCGTAAAATTGTCAATCATACATGAACATGCTGTCTTTCATACACTTTTGCCCATGTTTAAACGTAGAAACTCTGATAATGGAAAAAATGAAGTATTACAGAGAGCAGAGATAAATTTCGAAAGCGCTTCATCTCAGAAAATAGAGCATTTCTTGGAATCTGAAGTTTTTTTCAATCGCTAAAATCATTTTTTAAGTGCCTACATTATAAAATCATTATGTCGGATTATTACACATTTATTTTTGTTTCAATTAATTAGCACTTATGGCATTCAAGGAGAAAAAAAGATGCTTTAAGAAATGTAACTATCAATTTTAGATAAGTAGTGTATTTTAGTTTTCCAGATGCTAGTGCACAAGACCGTATCCATGAATATTTCATTAGCTGTATAAAGGTGCCAGTCTCATTACTCATCGATAGACTTTATTTAAAATTTCCTTGAATTTATTCAGTTACGTAACTTTTGAAAAATTGTACTACAGGACTTGGCAAAAGCACTTTGAATTTTTTTTCTTAAACCATACTTATATATTTTTGGTTTTGCATCGAATGAGGAGAAAGAATCAGGAGTTGAGGATTTCATTCCTTGCCCGTTTATGCAAGCCAATATCACTCATAATTGCATCCCTTGGGCAGACGGAAATCCTTAAATATCTTTGAAAATTGTATCAGCCATATAAAATAATGGAATTGAATCATCAAAGAACAAACACATTACTGATCCATAAATATTGATATACACCGTACATTATTAAGTGCAAAACAATAGCTGGAATTGAACGAAGATTGATTTGAGGCTGAGTATAAACGAACACGAACTAAATTTATTATTACAGCATGATTTAATAATTAAGACTAACAGTTCAAAAAATATGAAAAAATCAATGTTTTGATCTCAAATTGAACGAATTTGTACACCGCCGTCAATACACGGCACTTAGAAGATATTGTCATGAAAGGGGCTAAATACATAGCTTATGACATGAATATTTGAATATTAGGTTTGGTTGAAATATCCAGAACTTATTTAATGATGACATTTTTTCTGCTAAATGATAGACTTTAATTTCCATTAAATTTAGTCACTTTATTATACTAAATATTACACCAAGAAAAAAGAAGCCAATACAAGCTACGACAGTAAAGCGGTATAAAGTAAAAATTAAATATTTACTAAATTCTGAGATAAATTAAAATGACAATTCTAAAACATTAGTCGGATTAATGATTAAAGGTCTCAAAATTGAAAATAAATCATCAAAGCATATATAGACCAGTTAAATGAATAAATAATGAATGGCATTAAATGAAAATTTACCAAATTTCATAATCTCAAGTCTCAGCATTCAAGCATACATATGTAGGAAAGGAAAAAAAAAACAAATATGCTGTAAAATTATGTTTATAGTTTTGTTGTTTTATTTAAAGATAATTTGTACTCATTAGTTTCAACTAGTACATCATGTGTAGATTGTGAAAGTTTGTAAATAGAAGCTAAAACGATATTTAAAAAAAAATTTAAAACGATTTTAAAAAATTACAATTTTCTTCTAATTTCAATGAATATTTTTGTATTGATATTGTTTACATGTGCAGAAAAACTCGGGCAAATTATATATACCCTTCCAGGTATTTGCAACTGATCTGACAACAATTAAATATTGACTCTTTTGATAATTGGAA